TCTACAGGGACAGCATTCACCCAGGGGAGGCCACAGAGGACAACAGGCCACACGAGGCAAGGCGCGGCTTACTAAAGTGGCAGGGCACAGAAGCGGCTCGTGGTGAGTGCCAGGGCCCAGAGCCGGGGAGGCCTGGGTTGGTGCACGCATGCGCGAGGCGGACACGCTCCTCCGTGGGAGGGGCCATCCGCCTAGGTCACCACCAGACCTAGAACCTTTGGAGGCCAGGAGCGTGTCACACCAGCCACCGGCATGGAATGACGTGGGTTCTCCCTGAAATCACCCTGTGGTCACTGGACTTAAATACACTGGCACTTATCAGGGCCAGGAAGCATTCTCCTCAGTTTAGTGTTACGCTCCTAATTCATGTGGCGTCTTAAGTCCAGCTTTGTAGAATTATTTTTATCTATGTCCATAAGGTTAAGAGGAAGAATTTATCTGTTGGATTTTGCTAATAGAGCTCAACTAAAAGCTTTTTTATTTTTATTTTTATTTGGTTTTCCATTTGTTTTTATTAGAACCTTTATTGGGGCAATCATTTTCAACAAGGAACACATTATTTTGGAGGAAGAAACTATTCTTGGAAATTCTGGAGAAGTATTTTCTGTTTTAAAAATAGGGAAATGGCTGGGCGTGATGGTGCACACCAGTCATTCCAGTACTCAGGAGGCTGAGGTAGGAGGACCGCCTCAAGTTTAAGGTCAGATGCAGCTACATAGTCAAGTTCAAGGGAGCATGAACTACATAGCAGGACCCTGTCTTGAAAAATCAAAATTAATTAATTAGGGCAATCTCCTAATGCAGTGTCTCAGCAGAGGTGGGGGCAGCCAGGGGTACCTGGTCTACCTGCCAACCTGCAGATGGGTCTTGGATGGGGCACTGGCTGTCTGTGCAGCTTGGAAGGAGGCCACTGCCATATAGATAGTAGGTTGTCCTATAAAGCCACAGCTTCCTGGGGCTCCCTGTCCCTGGTTCTGATTCATCTTAGACTTGTAGAATAACTCAGGCTAGTGAAGGCAGCTTTTTGGGCCAGACACCATGGCATATGCTTATCATCCCAGCACTGAGGAGGCTGAAGCAGGAGCCTGAACTGCATGGCGAGACCCTGTTTGTTTGTTTATTTTAAAGGCAGCTTCTGGGCGGCAGGACTTGTTCCTCATCTCTCCAGAGCAATGATCCTCATACTTGACAGGAAGTCACAGGACTGCTCCACCTGGACCTGCATTTCTGCCTTGTGCCAAATTTCCCCAGACTGCTTAGAGGGTGGAAGGGGCTCCTGGGCCAATGCAACACTGCTCTGCCTAAGTCCTGTTTCCCCTGGCCTGTCATATTCCCAGGAGAGGCAGATTCTGCCCTTTCCCAGGCGACACCCTCTCCACCCTCCCCAATGCATCCTGTGCTAAAACAAAGCCCCTGAAAAAAGCACTTTTTCTTCTTCCCGGAGAGTTTTGGAGGGAACTGCCCACAAGTAACAGGCTGGGGCAGGGTGCACTCCCCAGTGTCTTCTCTCCTGTCCTGTTTTGGTGGTGGTGGCTGTTTCTTCTGCACTGGGACATCCCTAGCCCAGCAGGTCAGCTCTCTCTGAGCTCTCCTGAGTGTGCAGGGGGGTTAGGGGAGGGGGTACCCACCAAGGCTCTTGCACAGGACCTGCATGGGGACCCAGAGCTCACGCCCTGCTCCTTGCTCACTCCTGTGCTTCCCCAGGGGATTCACATCACCTGGAATGCAGCTGTGTGCCCACGAGAGGCACCTTGTCAAGAGTAAATGCCATCCTGGATGTCGAGTTATGGGGTGCAGTGGACATGCCAGTGGGAAGGCCCTGACTCTATCCAGCTCCCTGCTCTCCATTTCCAACTTCTGCTCACTTGGGCTGATTTTTAATTATTTTTTTAAAATTTATTTATTTATCTTTTTGTCTGAGTCTCACTACACAGTTCAGGCTGGTCTTGAGCTCACTTTGTTCCCCAGGCTGGTCTCAAACTAGCAACAATCCTCCTGCCTCAGCCTCCTGAGTGCTGGGATTACAGGTATGTACCACTACGCCTGGCTTTGGACTGATGTTTTGTGTTTTTAATTTTTTTTTTTTTTTTTTTTTTTTTTTGTACTGGGTATCAAACTCACGACCTCGATTTTGTCAGGCAGGCACATAATGCCGCTGAGCTAAATCCCTGGCCCTGGACTGATTTTTTTTAAGTCCAATGATTTAAGGTCTTAGGGAACCAATCTTGTTGGAGGCCTTTTACTGCTCAGGGCAGTTTCCACTTCACTAGAGTTCATTCACATCTGCCCCTCTGACTCAATAGTCAGGACGCACCCAGACTGTGACAGAGGAACCCAGAACCCTCGCCTGCGGAGTCTCTCTCAGGACTCGGTACCCCCAGTACCCCCAGCGATGGTCTTCACTCACTGTTGCCTCTTAGCTGAGCTCCAGCCCCAGTCTGCCTGTGAGCTGCTTGTCTCTGGGTGGGCATGTAGCTTGCTTCCGACTTGTCTATGCAGCCGAGGGAGGGACAGAAGTCTTCCCATCCCTCGTTCTCTGGATGGTGGCTGTGAGCTCTCATTGGTATGAGGTGGGTCAAGCCTCAGCTGACTCCTGCCCTCTGCCCACAGGTGAGGATGCAGGGCAGGGCCGGTCCACAGTTGAATTTGTTCCCATCTTGTCACCTTGGGAAGCATTAGAGGTTCCTCTAAGGGGACTGGAGAACCCACTTTTAGAATCTACCCAGGAAACACAGGGATCTGCAAGGGAAACTTGGAGAAAGGAAGGCAGGGCACAGGTCCTTCTTAGTAGTGAGGACTTCTGTGGATTCCTGGACCTTGCAGGGATGGCCCCACATCCTTCGATGAAGTTTGTTTTGTTATTTTTAAGAGTAGGAAAATTTATTGGAGATTAGGAATGGGGAGAGGACAGGAAGGGTCCTGAATGAGTTGCCTTCTGGTGAAATTTTAATACACTCTTCTGTTTGCCGGACCAGGAAGGTGGCAGGCAGCTGTCCTCACCTGCCAACTGCCCGATCTGTCTGCTGTTCAGCTGCAAGATTTCTCAGGTAAGGCAAGGTGAGCGGGACTGGACCCCTCACGGGTTTTTCAGGTAACTCACTCCAATGTACTTCCAGGGCATTTTCAAGTGGTTTCAGGTCAACCGGACAGGTCTCCAGGTCAACCTCAGAGCCCAGGCCCAGACTATCTGGAGCCTCCAGGGATCACTGCAGATGACCTTGGAGCTGACCTGTGAGCTCTGTCCCTGTCCCCTTTCCCCACTCCCTCCTCTAGAGGGAGCATCTCTGGGTGCCTCTTGTGGAAGCTTCTGGGCTGGCTCAGGCCAGAGGTGTTTAGATCTCTCCTGCTGCTGCTGTAAGACCCAGCACTACTCTTGGACCCAGAGGCCTCATGAGCATGTCTCCAAGGGTGCCCTGCTCAGACCCGGGCCAGGGACAGGCCCACTGCAGTGAGCCACCTTCCAGGGAGTGTGTTCTCACTTCTTCCACAGTTCATCCTGGCAATCCCAAGGATGGATTGAACATGGGCCTTGAAGGACTAGCTGACAGTGAAGGCTACCAGCTGAGGCTAGAGGTCGCCCGAGGTAAGCCACGTGCATGCCCCTTACTTTCTGTAATACACCACATGGCAGTTGCTTTAGATGGCATTACAGACTGAGTGTCACCCTGGCGTCTAGAAAACACAGTCTTGTATCCAGCTGTGGCACAGAGGTGGTGGCAATGGGAAATGGTCCCCTAGGGCCTGGGGACTGAAGACAGGCCTGAGCCCTGATTGCAGAGCCACGCTGTGGTGAGGGCAGAAGCGAGGTGCTAGAGGGGACCTGGCTCGCAGAAGAGGAAGTGGAGGAGAAGGCCTAGCCGCAGAGGCCGGAATGGGGAGTCCCGGGGCAGCTGCTGAGACAGGGGAAGTCTCCATGATGGACAATGACACTGTCAGCATCTGTGGGTGTCAAGCATGAGAGAGCAAGCAGCACCTTCCAGGGATGCCCGGGAGTGGATGACTGGCCTCTGTCACTGCTGCACTCATCCTCATAGCAAGACAGCACCTGGGGGTCCTCATCCTGTCACTCACCATTAGGACTCCAGGCTCTGAGGCTGTGTCCTCACACAAAGAGGAAGAATATCCTCACACCTACCTCATCAAGCACTGGAGACAGCAGATGGCTCATTGGACACTGGAAAGTACTTTATCAGTGTGTCACCACCATTGCCACCATGTTCATGGAAATGGCGGCACTGTGGAGCACATGATCCCCAGTTCCTTAGGGTGTCTAATAGTAAAGGGCCATACCTGGCACTGGTGCAGGGGGCGGGCACATTCCCTTATCTCCCCAGGGGATGAAACAGGGAAGGTAGTGGCTTGCAGACAGCATGTGCCTACCTTTGGTCTAGAAAGAATAGCTCAAACAACCCTGAGGCTCAGAGATGTTCAGCCTCTCCTGAGGTACATTTCCCGGGGCTGGGGATTTAGCTCAGTGGCATAAGCACCTGCCTTGCAAGCAGGCGGTCATGAGTTCGATCCCCAGTACCAATAAAAAGGAAAAAAAAAAGTGAAAAAAAAAAGTAAAGTACATTTCCTGTAACTCCCCTCAAACTGCCTCACTAAATCTTATGGGAGAGGAGTTGGGGGTGCAGTCAACATGGGCACAGGCTTCTTCCCCGGGGTTTCTGGACACCTCTGGAGTGGTTTTCTGGTGAGGAATGGCGTGCAGGGTATGCTGCATCTATTTATAACAGAGCCCCGATCCAGAGAACATCTGCTCGGGGACTCATGAAACTTATTTTGGGAATTAAACTTAATTCTCCAGGGCGGAGCATCAGAATGGGCACTAGGGCTGGCGTGGGAGAGAAACGAGGATATTTGAGCCATGCCATCAGCGGTGTTAGCTGCTATAAACATCATGGAAAAAGAAAAGCCCAGTTTCCAAACACAGTGCTGAGTAGCACCGTGATCCCCGCACCTCCACCCCGCAGCTGTGCAAGCCCACACTCACAGTCACATATGGCAAATCTACGCTTTTATTTTTGTTCTAAAATGTGCTTTTTCCTCAATGAACTCAGTCCAGGATCTCCACCTCCCCTTATAAAAACAAAACAAAACACACACACATACACACATGCCACCCTCCAACCAGGTGAAAATCCTCGGCGATCAAGTCTATAACAAATATTGACACAAGAGGGAAAAACCATGTTGAAATGTATTAGAATCAACCTGTACAAAAAAAAATTAAAATATAACCTGAAACTGTTCAAGTTCAGAAAGTCTAGTCAAGTCCTTTCTCTGGCCAGGAGTGCACTGTCATTGGAGGGCTCTGGGTCACCAGCCAAGGGGACAGTAGGGAGGAGACGGAGCAGCAAGTCTTTCCTAGGCCGAGGGACCTCGGCAACACCATCCCCACCACAGGGTGGGTGGCCAGGAGAGCAGACAGACACCTGGGCAGCTGCACCCACAGTGATGATCAGAGGCCAAGCAGCCAGGGAGCAGGATAAGGGTTGACAGAGGACACAAAGCAGGCAAATAGCTTCTGCCAGCCACGAAGCCTCAGTCTCTCCATCTGCTCAGATGCTAGGTCCATCAGCCCAGAGCGCTTGAGCGAAGGATCCTAGCTGGGCTCAGGAGGCTGGAACCCGAAGGTTTAGTAAACACAGCCCAGCACCACATCCCTCTGTGGATTACCTGGAATGGTTGGCAGGGGTGAGGGAGGAGGGGCAGCAGGGCAGGTGGGTCCCTAGCTGGAGGTCACCTGCCCCAAGGTGGGAACCGTGTAGCCCTCCTCAGCAGGGGGGCCCCTGGGATGCTCACCCTTGGGCTGGTTGAGGGTGAGGATGCCCAGCCTAGGACCAGTCTAATGAAAAGGACACAGAGCAAAGAATGGCCAGGAGAATGGCACACCCCATGCACAGAGATAAGGGCCTCCTGGAGGAGCCGCAGTGCCCAGCCCTGGAGGGATGGCATCCGTGGGGCCCCTGAGTCTAAAGGGAGGGAGGGTATAGGTAGGGCAGGGGCGGTGCCAATGGGTGGGGACGAGCTGGTGGGGGCGGGCAGGTCTGGAACTCACTGCAGCTAGAGTAGGGGAGGAATAGGCCCGCGGTGTCCCTTCCCCACTGGGCCCTGGCCTGGTGAGTGCCAGCTGCCCCAGCCGGCCCTAGTGGCGGCTGGAAACCAGACCTTTCACTTTGGACATCTTCTTGCTAGGCTGTCTCTGCTCCACGTGTGGCGGACACTCTCGCTCGGCCAACTGCTGCTCCATTTCCTGAGCAGAGGAGGAAGCAGTGGCCTTCAGCGTCTTCTTGATATTGGTAACCTGGAGGGAGAAACAAGTGGGGTGCTCAGCAGGTGGGCACCAGAAACTCACTGGCCCTTGGTCTCACTGTAATGCATGCCTCACGGAGGAGCAGCCGAAATCCTGTGCAAAAATTGGAAACGGTCTTCAGAAATCCAGCCAAGAGAAATACAGGAAATGAGCCCAGCAAAAATGCAGAAACGATGCTTTGTTGATTAAAACAGCAGAGACAGGCTACCTGGCAAAGTGTATCACATAGAAGGTAAAAGGAAGTACTGAAGAGTCCTTAGAAATAGGAAGGGCAGCCCATGCCCTTCCGCTAACTACACTCGGCTGATCATTGCCCTATACCTCAAATACTCTCCAAGAATTTGGGAATATCGCTCCACAAAATCTCCTAGAATAAACTACTATAGGATAGACTTCCGCCAGCCAGGTGATGACAAAAACGCAGGAAAGGAACTGCCCGGTGCCAGCACCACCGCACCCCATTTGCTGTTTATCTTTCTTCAGTGACACATGAAGCATTGGCTCAGAAGTACCTCCGAACCATTCTCCCTGTGACACATGGGGCCTCGTGTGCGACAAGTGTGCGAGTGTGCAAGTGTGTCATGAGTGTGCTACTGCCCCTTAGCAAGCTCCTGGGTGCTCGGTGCTTGCGTGGACAGCCTGCTGCAGTCTAGCACGCTCTGCAAACACCCGGAAGATGCGGTCCAAGAAGCCAGTGCTACACAGGGGCTGCACAGATCCCCGGGGCCAGTGTGCTACGCAAGGTGAGGAGCCCTTGGTGACACACCTGGAACACAACAGTGTCTGATTTTGGAATTTTTCAGCTTTGCGATATTTGCATTCATTTTAGCAGTACTAAAATTCCTGAACATGCTGGAGCATTTCTAATTTTCTGCTTAGGCAAGTTCAACCTAAGTTTGAATACCAGCTTCTGACACGGAACTGTACCAATGTCTGCTTTTGCTAACTACAGATTCCAGTGCCCGTTACATCCAGCTCCCCAAGCCCAGTTCTGAGTGCTCTGTTAACAACAATGTTCCCCAGCCAGCTCCGAGGAGGAGGGGCATCCCAAGAGGGATGGAAGCTGAGAAGAGGAAACCGAGGAGCAGAAGGAGGAAGGAGGTGGGAGGGAAGAGCAGTCATATAAAGATCAGCATTTTGAAGAGAATCATTAGAAGGGAGACAGGAAAGAAGGCCAAGGGCGTCAGGCACATCTGGAAACAGAAAGTAAACAGCTCCAGATCACACGGCCATTGCAGAAGCTGGCAGCTCCTGCCCGTGCCTAGAGCACCCCACTGCCTTAGGGTCTCAGCGGGGTGGCTGAATAAAGGGCACAGAGCAAGGGAACAGCTCCCCACTCTCTCCGAGGGAGATACTGGTTGTGACTGCAAGGCTTGTTTTAATGGCCTCAGAGGAGAGACTAAGGAATGTGATTTCTAGAAGGATGCTATAGTGCATGTCTGGAATCCCAGCATTCTGGGAGGGTGAGACAGGAGGGTCCAAAGTTTGAGCCCAGCCTGGGCAACTTAGTGAGACACTGTGTCCAAATAAAACAGGGATGGGAAGTAGCCCAGTACAAAGTAGCCCATCAAACCCAGTAATGCCTGCAAAAAGTGATTTCCTCGGTATCACTGTTTTCTAAAACAACCCCCCAGGGCCTCTCCAATTTGGTACGCTTTCTAATAACAGGAGGAAGACTAATTTAAAATCCTAGTAAGAGTCAATGCACAGCTTCAGTCTGCGTGGCAGTTGCCTCTGACTTCAAGCGTGAGAGAGACCTGCAACTGAGTAGTATCGAGGGGGTTGCCATACTACATGCAGCCCCCTGCAGCCCCCAGCACACCAGCATTCACCCCTGTTCCTGCAGCAAAACCAACTCAGCCCCCACCCTGCCTGTGGCCTCTGTTCCCACTAAGACCAACAGCTTCCCCACCTCCTGCCCCGAGAGAGACTGCACAGCCTGACTCGGGTCCTAGTGAAAGCCCCCACATGAAATGGGGACAGGACAAGACCACATGGCCCTCACTGTGGGCGCGTGCGTCCTCCAGCCCTGCCTCTTCAGGAGCTGCCCATGAGCCTGGCACTCAAGAGCCGGAAGGGGCGTGGTTCTTCCCAGAGGAAGGGTCAGCACTCCAGGCCCAGAACACTTCTTCCCTGCAGCTCCACACGCACTGCACAGTGAAGCCACACCTGCCCCTCACCACGCTTGGAAGTGGCCTCTGTTTCTCTTCTGTTTCTTCTTTTTTCCCCTGCAGTGCTGGTTTCTGAACCAGCACTTTGTACATGCTAGGCGAGTGTTTTAATTTGGAGCTACATCCCAGCCCTTTTTAATATTTTTATTTGCAGGCAGGGTCTCACTAAGTTGCCTGGGCTGTGCTCCTCCTGCCTCAGCCTCCCAGGCAACTGGGATTGCAAGCAAGCACCTTGATGGCTGCCAAAAGCAGTCATTTCATCTCTGCTCTTCAGCCTTTCATGACCCTAGGATTCCGGCCTGGGCAAACCCTCCCTGCGGGGTCCCTTAAATTGCCTGAGGGGATCAAGCACCTCCTTCACACAAGTCGCCACCCACTTGCCCACACTGACCTGCATCCCCTCATCCCGCTCAGGCCTGGTAGCACCCTGGCTCCAGCTGCCTTGCCCACTGGTGGGGTAACATGCCAGCTGTCAGCGTTGCACTCTCTGTAAAATCTAAGGCCCTGAGAGCAGTAAACACTGGGAAGCACAATGCATATTTCCAGTAGGGAACAGCCCTGTGCACAGACATCTTTCATGCCCAAGAAGTGAGCTCTCCTCCTCCACCAAGACCAGGAGCACACGGAGCTGCAAACCAGGCCTTGCTCAAGACAGCTGTACTGTGGGCATTTCAAACACACAGACTCCTAAGGGAGGTGCCTGAGCCAATGACACTGTTGGCCAAAGACAAGGACAGCTAAGTCCCTTCTGCCAGAGCCAGTCCCCCTAAGTGCAGACAGCACTCTCTGGGACTCGAGTGTGGCTCACATGTAGGCCTGCCAGTCAAGCCTACTTTGGCCTTGAAGACTCAGAGACTCCATCCCCTCCCCCACAGAGCCACCTTCAGCTGGCAACAGGCACCCCTCAGACATGTCTTCTCCTCCTGACATCCTTCCTTAGGCAGCCTGGCTTCCAATCTGTCCCCACTCCACCTACCCCCAGCTGACCTAGAGTTTGCCCAGCTCTTCAAAATACAAGTCTCAGGAATTCTTCAGTGTGGTTGCACTGCTGGCAAAAATGCAGCCTGGCTAGCTGGGCATGATGCAGCACATGCCCAGCTGTAATCACAGTGCCTGTGAGGCCGAGGCAGGGAGGTGTTGTGAATTTATGGGCAGCCTGAGCTACACAATGATACACTGCCTCAAAAAAAAAAAAAAAAAAAAAAAAAAAAAAAAAATCAGACAGCCTGGCTCTACCAAAGAACTTTAAAAGTCGGACAAAAAAAGAAAAGGGCTGCCCAGGACAACTGAAGGGCACAGCAAAGGCCGACTGCAGGAAAGAGCTGTAAGGTGCTGCAAAGAAAAGTGACCCAAAATGGAGAGAAGCCCTGGGAGAGCCAGGAGGTACTGCAACAGTTGCTGAGCCAGAGGTGTGTCACTAACTCCTGGAGGATGCTACACATGGCCAACAGGGCTTAGATTTCCTTCAGTGCCTAGGAGGGCAGAACACAGCCGTTCTGGAAGGTGCAACAGCAACTGCTAGGCACTAACAGTCTGTGGAACGCCAGGCACGGGTACACTCAAATATAAAGAAAAATACACTCCAAGGTCAGATGTAAATGAGGACTAGCTTTGTGGTGCTGCACCCAATTGTTCTTTCCCTCCAGAGGACTCGCTCAGAAATAACACTAGAGCTCGCACTGAAGTGTTCTAGCTCCCATAGGTGGCTGCAAGGATCTAAACAACAGGCTGTTGCTAGGGAGGATTAACAGACAGAATGTTCCAGGTAGTCTGTAACAGGGTCTACATTGCTTATAGGGAAGGCTCTGGAAGGTACAACTCAGCAGAACAAGCTGTTACAGATCAGGCTGGGAAGCACTGCTTTCCCCTGTGAGAACAGTACTACAACTTACAGATAAAGCTCTGTGTGGCAGCACATGCTGTAACCCCAGCCCTCCTCTGGGAGGCTGAGCAGGAGGATCACAAGTTTAAGCCCATCCTGGGCAACTCAGCAATGTAGTGAGACCCTGCATCAAAATTTAAAAGAGGGAAGGGATAAAAAAAAAATGAAACAAGCTGTAGCACGTACAAGTACCCACTTCCCAATATGACTAAACTGCACACGCTGCAAACGTGCTAATAAAAAATTTTTGAAGTTAAAAAAAGGCTTGAGGATGTAGCTCAGTGCTAAGCTCCCAGAGGCGACCCAGGGAAGAGTACAAGAGAGGCATGGAGGGAAGAAAAGAAAGAAAAGATTTCCAGCGTGGAAGAGAAACAGCTACACGAGCCAGGCCAGGCTAACAGGAGCAGAAATGCTGACACGCTGCCCGTCTCTCTGCTGCCCGCCTCTCTGCTGCCCTGTTTGCCTTCTCAGGTCAGCACCAGGCAGGCACTGGGCATGCGCCTCCTGCTAGGAACGCCAGCCCTCTGCCTGCCACCAGCTCGGGCACCGACTGAATGGGCACCAGGGCTCTGCACGCCGCTCTCTCCCGATGTGCAGCTCTGTGCCAAGGCTTCCGAAGACTTCCATGTCCAGGAGCGATTCTAACTGATCCTCCTGTGTCTCTCAAATGGAAGTCCTTGGTGCCACCTGGCGGCAGGATCCGGCTTTGCCAGCAGGGGAGTTGAAATTTAGTTATGCATCAGCACAGGGCGTGTGGCACGGAGTGGCCAGGCACACCTGCCATTCATCACCTAGAGAAACGGGCATCTTTCAGAATCCTCAGATTATTCCCATTCATCATGTTGTTGGTGACTGCAGACGCTGACAGTCTCCCTACCGCGTGCCCCGATTCGCAGCAGCACAGCGGGACAATGCCCTGGCAGAGAACAGGCCGCAGTGCACACCCAGAGGCTTTCAGGGGCTCCCTGAGGGCAGAGAGCCCAGAGCCTCCAAGCCTGGGCCTTCTGGTTTGGTTCCTCTGCCAGGAACAAACAATGGGGAGCGGCCAGCCCTCCCCACGGCCCCCCACACAGGCCGGGCAGGGGCTGCAGGATGAGGCACAGCAGGCTCCTCTCCAAGCTGTTTCTGCCTGGGCTCCTGGGACACACAGTCCCCTCCCAGTCTTGAGAGCGGGTCACTAAGCACCTATCTGTGGGGCAAGCTTGGCAGCCAGAAGAGGCCAAGCGGTCAAGCATGGGCAGTGACTGGTCTTGGGAAGTAAGGCAAGGGGCAGGGTGTCACTTCTCAAGGAACAGGTCACTCCCGGGCCATGCGCCGAAAGTCACAGCTGCCCGCCCCTCACAGTCCTTCCCTGGAGCTACAGCCTCTCTGCCTGCTCAGGGACACCTGCCTTTTACACACTCGACACCATCAGGCCCTGAGCCCGACACACGAGTAAAGGGCTTCGGGCAGTGAGAACAACCAGGGGTCAGGGACTCGCATCCCTCATCTCCATCTCAGCCTGCCGCCTGCTCTTCCTTCTTCAGTAAAAAGCACATCACGTGTTTACAAAGGTTGCAACATATGCACGCATTCACCCACGCATCAGAGAAAATCAACAGTGAGTGAACTACGGCCCCAAGCAGTACAGCTTTGCAGGGTCCTGAGGTCCATGTGCCCTGCCACCAGCGCCTCTCTCCACTGCACCTGGTGACGGGGTACGTAAGCACCGTCCTTTGTGTACGACACTGGCTCAGAACCCTGGGCCTCTGGCCTGGTAGACAAGCGCTCTGCCGTGGAGCCCTGCCTAAGCATTTTAAGGCCCATCCATCTCCAAGCTCATCTCTCCCTTCAGACGCCCTGAGTGTGGGCACTGAGGAAGCCCAGCCCTCTCCACCCTCCGCTCGACTGCTGCCCAGAAGGCATACGGAGGCCCCAGGCCATTGTGCTTGGACCCGAGCCCCAGCCGCTCCTCACCTCCGCCTCCACTTGCTGCTGTGTGCGGTGGTGGTTCTCTTTGTACTGGTTGGCTCGCAGAACCTGCTGCTCGATGCCCAGCAGCACCGCCTCACAGCCATCGCACCTGCAACAGAGAGCACCGGCGCTGAACTGAGGAGGGGCCCAAGCTCGTGCCTCCCGACCCTGCCTGACAGGATGTCCCCGCCACCACACCCTCCAGTCCTGCCTCATTCCAGACAACGAGCTTGTCCAGACACAGCACTGGACACACAGGGCCACATACAGCGGCTTGTGAGTGGCTTCTTGGAATACAGTTCTAATTCCCAACCTCTGCAGTCCAGGGAAAATGGTTCCACAGAGAATGTGAGCCAGACGGAGGTGGAGAGACTACAGGCGGCACTCAGTACTGTTTTCCTCACTAGAAAAACAGCTTTTCATGCATTTTTTCACTTCTTATTTTAAGAATTAAAAATGAAGTGAAAGTGGGAGCAGTGGTGCATGCCAGTAATCCCAGCACTGAAGAAGGCTGAGGCAGGAGGATCCCAAGTTTGAGCCTGCCCGGATAACTCAGCAAGAGTTAAAATAGAGAGGCCAGGGATTTAGCTCAGTGGCCGAAGTGCCTGCCTGGCAAGCTCAAGATCCTGATTTGATGCCAGTACAAAAAAAAAAAAAAAGTTAAAATAGAAAAGGGAGCCAGCTGTGGTGACACATGCCTATAACTCCAGCACTTGGGAGATGCAACCAGAAGACTCCAAAAGTTTGAAGTCAGCCTGCACTATACAGTGAGACTATCTCGAAAAACCAAAAATAAGTAAATAAATGGCTAGGAATGTAGTTCCATGGTAGAATGCCTGCCTTGCCCTGGTTCGATCTCAAACACAAGAGAAAAAGGGGGAAAAAAAAAAGGGGGGGAGAGAAAGAGAGAGAGGACGCATATGCACATGCCTATAACCCCAGCACTCAGGAGGCTGAGACAGGAGGAACACAGCAAGTTCAAGATCAACCTGAACTATATAGGGAGACCTTGTCTTGAAAACAAACAAGAGAGAGGAGGCAAGAGAAAGACAGAAGAAAAAGGCTGTCCCTGTACCTTCCACTTAAGGTACAACACTGAGGCCCTTTGAGCATGTTTCTGGTGCCTCACAATAGAGAAACTCTGCTCCCAGTGCCTAAATCAGAGCCTCAACTCCTCCCCAAGTGAAGCCCTGGGACAGGAGTCAGAATGGCAGCCTGGCCAGACATACTGGGGGCTTACACCAAGACACCAGGCCATGGGCATGAAAACTCTAACAGCCAGGCCACAACTGATCTAGGGCAACCAACGTCAGCAGCATCAGATGCAGGACCCTACGTGTCACGCCACCTGTGTGTCAGATTGTTTGCTAAGTTCATTCTGAGGAACAGTCTGGTGAGCCACTGAAGGCTTCTGCTCCTGTAACACTATGCAAAGCAAAGGTATCCAGAGCCATATGTAAGGCAGAACTAGGGTGCTGGCGGGCAGCGCAGGCCCTAGGGTCCAAGAAGCTTAAGTGAGGTGCACTCCAGACTCCCCACTTGGAAACACAGCAGACAACAGTCTGTCTGAAAGAAAACCATCTCCCTGCCCCTGCCCACAGCGCTGGCCTGCTCGGAGCCTGCCCGGGACACACCCGCTCACATTCCTGGCCCTGTCAGTGCTCACTAGGACTTGTCTAAGTCCAGCTGGCTTTGTAAGGCCCAAACCACTTAAAAGGTTCCATAATAAGTCCTCGCAAATATCTAGTTTCACTAAAAGACAGCATTCCCAACCATCCCGATTCCTCACAAATGGCAGATGGGCTGTGAACTACTGTGTGAGTCTGTCTTCCAGGCGATAGTAAGCCAGGCCCAGTCTGCAACATCCCACACAGTGCATCACACACCCTGCCCTGGGATGCTGCTGACTGCACCCCGGTTCTCCTATCCAAAGAACTTCCCAGACATAAACTTCCTGAATGCAGCCACACTTTGTGCCTGCAATTAGTATGCACACACTGTACAGGATGCACAAGCACCATGTGCTGGGCCCACTGTGAAATAGCACAGCTGCATTTGAGATGGGGCAGTAGAGGCCTCAAGCTGCCATCATACAGCTGTAACCACTCCTGCAGCCCACTCGGGCTGTAGTACAACCCCAGCGTGGGTGGCCCCAGTGCTACCCCCATTCTGATAACCTCTGGAGATCACATGTCCACAAGCAGAGGCACAAGGCCACACCAGCTACGCCCCTCCTCCTCCCAGCCTCACCATTCATGCAAGGTCTTCACGATGTTATTGATATCCTTCTTCCGGATGTCCCGGCCAATGCAGAAATCCACTTCCAGCAGCTGGTTTCGCTGGTCCAGCTTGCCCTGGATGATGTCGGTGTAGACAGCCTCGATGATGAGGTCCTCCAGCTCCCGGAGATTCCGCATCTCCAGGTCCCTGAGCAGCACAGAGTAGGGGATGCACTGTGGAGAAGCATGGAGAAGGTAGATGATTAGGAGAGGCCCCAAGCACAATGAAGGCAACAGCGGCCTCTGGCTCAGGCGTTGGGGGAGGCGTGTTCAGCTTGAGGCCTGGACAGCTAGGAAGGTGGCTGCGCAAGACTGCAAAGGTTTTTTGGTACAAGGAGGGGAGGCTGGGGCTGGACTTTGGCATGTGCCACTATTCTCAGGCTGCTACCTCACTCTCTCAGCTTGACTGCAGGATGTTCCAGCCCAGCTGGGGAAGGCACAGCCCACAGTCACCAAGCTGCAGCCCACATACTAGGGCAATGCAGAGAGTAAGACACGGCACCCACCAGCAGTGCTTCGCCCTGCCTGCATGTGAATTTGTTGTTATTAAGCAGACGTGCAAGCTTTCTCATTTTATTATGAAACTTGGACTTGTGTTACTTCTTAAAGTATTTTTTTTAAAAATACTTTTACACATACAAGCTGCATATGTAGTCTATATAGATGTAGTCTGTATGATTTCATATACAACCTGAGACAGTTCTTCCCTCAGTGCCACCAAAGCAGGCCAAGGTAGGACCCCCATGGTCTAGTACCACTGGGGATGGATAAATGAACTGCAGGACCTGTGGGACCCAAACACAGACTTGCAGCACCCCGGAGGTGCCCTCCTAGTCCTCCACCCTGGGGTACACACCTGCAGACCCCAGCCACCTCTGGAGAAAAGGAAACACTAATGTGCCATTCTACAAGTCTGCAGACTACACAGAATGCCAGTCTATCACAAGCACAGGCATTGGCTGCTTGCATAGCAGAAGTTTAAGGAGGCAGCAGAGGCAGCCAATGCAGAGGTCGTCCTCAAGCCCACACCTGTGTTCTCAGACCCGTTACCAACACCAACTTGAGCTGGGCTAACAGACAGGACAGCTGACCTTCATTCTCGATGCCAGGCTCACGATGGTAAGGTGCTTCAGCTTGTTCTGCTGTGCTGTGCTCAGTTCTGGTAGGCTCTCCTTGTTGGCTGCTCGGTTCCACCCACCACAAAAATCAAGACATAAAACAAAATTAGGATTTTTTTTTTACAGTCAATTCATTGACTCCCCGTCCTATGTACTAGTGAGTGTCCTGACTCTGAACTTGTTTGCTGGACAAACTGAGTGAGTGCCTCCATCTCCCCTGGGAGGTCACACACCTCTGGAAAGGACAGACTTGGACGCTCCACTGGAGGAGTGTCTCAAGAAACCAGGTGTGCAGACACAACGGCACAGCCCCTTGTGACACTCGACGAGCATCATGTGTGCAGCTTTCTCCCTGGGCAATCGGGTGTCCAAGGATGAGTGAGATGAACTGCTTGGGCTGCTGTGCTACACGCTCCAGGCACTTAAAGCCTGGAACTGTGCGACTCTACGCCCCCGGACTTGCCCAGCTACCAGGGCAAAGCAGAACTAGCAGCAGGAAGGCACAGACTACCCAAAGGGAAGGGGAGGGAAAAAAGAAGGGAAGAAGGGGAGGAAGACAGAGGGAGGGAGGAAAGGAGGGAGGTGTGGGAAGAGAAAGGCGTAGTCTGGGGCACGCAAACTCCGGACTCACAGGCCTGAGCACAGCACAGCACATGTGCTCAATGCGCCTCCAGCTCCCAAATGCCCCTGTCTCCTAATCATAACTCTGGATCCCAAAAAGCTAAATCTAAATTGTTCTTAAGCACAAAATCCAGCTGGGAACAATTCCTGTCCTGAGCTGAGGCCAGCTTCTCTGTTTGTTTGCATACCAGGGACTGAACCCGAAGCCCCACACACTAGTATCTACCATCCGCCCTTTTTATTTTAAGACCAGGTCTCACTAAGTTACCCAGGCTGGCCTCAAACTTCTCTATCCTCCCGCCTCAGCCTCCTGAGGGGATGCCATTAAAGGGGTGTACCACTACAGCCAGCTTGGGGCCGGCTTTTATCTTACTTGTGTGAATATATGACAATTGCAGGCAGCCATCCTGAGCCTGCACAGTGCTGCCTCCTTATTAAGTGAAGACAAGGAGGACACTGACCAGCACAGAGGCAGAGAGAAACCTGGGGCACATGGGAAGTGGTGTCCCACTCAGGCTAACACCAGCTCAGCAAGGGCAAAGGGGATGTCAGGGTTATCAAAGGGAAGGCCCTGGGGGTCAGGTTACTTATATACCAAACAAACAAACAAACAAGAACAAAAAGCAAAACACAGTAGGGAAGCCAGGGCAAAAAGACATTGGGTTAAGGAAAGTCGGCATATGGTCCTGGGAATCTCCTGCTGTGCTACTTAACATTCTAATTTAAAACAACTCATGTAGCTTCAGAGTTGGGCTGGATTGCGGGGTACTATAAGTGAAGGTCAAAGCGAGCTATGAAACTATACACATAGGGCTGGGGATTTAGCTCAGCGGCATAAGTGCCTGCCTTGCAAGCAGGCAGTCGTGAGTTCGATCCCTGGTACCGATAAAAACAAAAAAGACAAAAAAAAAAAGAAACTATACACATTACTGGGTTACACAATGCGGTAGAAAATGCAGAAGGCTAATTTGATGAGTTACAACTACAAGTGACTTTTTTAATGTTTTTCAAGTTTTCTTTAATATGGTGATATTATTTTGAGAACATTTAAGGTGCTGAACTATTCCACCGTGGGCACCCTGACACACACTTCGAAAGCACTCTGCGGACCTCGAACCCCAGTTTGCAATCACTCCACCTGGAAACACACACAGCTGTGTTGAGCTTGAGCTCATTTTATCAAACAGGAAACAAGGGGAGACAAAAATCCCTTTTGTGGGATCACTGGCAGGGGCCAGCAGAGGGAGAAGGCCAAGGTAAGAAGGTCCCCAACACACACTTTCTACCTTGGCCCTCGGAACCAGGTGACAGGAGCAGGACAAGTCTTTCAGAGGATTCCCACCAACTCACCTATGTAATCCGGGTACGTCCCGTAGGCAAACAGGTTCAGTAGCTGCAAGTATGCAGCGTTAGCTCCTTCCGCAAGCTGAGGAGGGAAAGAGAAGTTCACTAGAGAACGCACTGACAGCCGCCAAGTGCTCTGCAGAGGGTGGCTGGAGGTTGATGCCTGCTCCTTCCGCACCGCTGACTTAGTCGCCCCTGAAGTCCCTGCCAACTCTGATTCGTTGAGGAAAAAAAATTTCTAAAGCCCCAAATTGGATCTTTCTTCTTCTTCTTCTTCTTCTTTTTTTTTTTTTTTTGCTCTTCAAATTCCTTGAGAGGATCTTTCTTCTTCAAAAAGAAAATTTGCAGCTTTTTGTCACATACATGCACACACACACACACTCGCTGAGCCATCAGGCTGGAAGTTTCCACAGGAGTCCTCCTGCATTAAACAGACTGCCGCAGCCCGGCACAAACCCCAGCATGCCAGGCTGACAACCGTTACGAACCCAGACTGAAAAACCTGGGTCAGTCCCGAGTTGTGGAACTATATAAGCACTACAAACCTGGGAAGTGACTAGAGAGAACGAGGTGAGACAGAAAAGCCTGCCTGGGGCAAAAAGGCAGGCTGTGCAGCTGCCCCAAAGAAAAATTTTCAATAAAATGACTTACTTTTCACTGATGCTGATGGCAAAGAACCATCTGCAGAAGGAAAACGAGAGAGCCACTGCCTGCCTGGAACTGCTCTGCTCTGTCGTGGCTACAAATGACAGCCTGTCACCCTGCTGGCTCACAGGCATGAAACAGCATCAATGAGCGTAGCAGGGTATCAGGCAGGCCTACAGCAATACCGTTCAACAGCAGCCATTGTGAGGGGGACGGCTTCTAGGAAAGCACCGTAAGTTCACTGAAAGGCAATGCATTTATGCCCAGCTCTCCAATGGAAAAACAAACTGTGCAGAGAGAGAAAAGGTGACCTCTTTTGCACCCCAGTGACAATTCTGGCAGCCGACACCTCAGTCTATCTCTCAGGTCGCCACAAGCCTCCAAAGTCCCCAGGAGCTGCAAGAGACCCGGTAAAGACTGCCAAACCAGACGCCACTTTTTAGACAGAGAATTATAAAAAATCAATAGAACAGATTATGGTCTGATTTCCCAAACGGCTCCCACTGGCCTAAGACGGTAAGATCTTGCCCACTTGCATTTCCATCTACCTCCTCCTAGCCAGTCTCCCACAGTTACAGAACCAGGTAGCCTTCATCCAGGCTTTTCATGAACTTGAAAAAAGTATTTTACCCCTTTGCCCTGTATCTCTGCGACAGCTGACAACCAAACTCAGTTATCTCAAATCTTCCTGAGAGGATTCATTTTCCATCTGGTAAATCAAATTTGCACTGAAAGCCTACTGTGTGTCAGGCTACGTAGTCAGCTCCAAGGAGCTTAGAGCTTGCAGCTCTTACAGAGGAGCATGCACGACTGGCATAAATACCAATTTACAACTGAAAAACCAAGCTGGCTCCCTCTTTCCAGCTCTGGCCATCAGAGGAAAAGGAGACATGTTGAATGGTGGCAGAACTGCTCCAGTCTCCTGACCAAGAGAAAGAAGCAGGGGCTGGGGATTTAGCTCAACGGCATAAGCGCCCGCCTTGCAAGCAGGCAGTCATGAGTTCAATCCCCAGTACTGATAAAAAGGAAAAAGACAAAAAAAAAAAAGAGAGAGAAAGAAGCAGAAGACAGTGTGGAACCCAATAACCTGAAGGTCACGACTGGCTGTGGGGGTGGGGCTGGCAACCCTCAGCAAAGGTACAGTGGTGATCGGGAAAGTGATGAAACACCCAGCAGGAGCAGGCCACGGCCCTTGAGCATACCACCAAGAGTCCAAGCACCGCTCTCAGCAGCAAACGACCCTCAGGACGCACCAAGGCCTGGGACTGTGCGTGACAGCCACCCACGAGGCCAGTGCCTCCCTGTGCACTGGCAGCCTGACGGTGAACAGAAAGTAAACCAACCCCACCAACACACCAGGAACTCCCCAGGGCTTCCCCAATACAAAGCTCACACCAGCACCAGAATGTTTGCACTTCTCTTGTGAAAACACAAGTGTCAAAGGTGGGCAGTGTAAGGAGCTGTCTATCTGTGTTCTAACCAGTCATCAGCAGATCTTCTCATGCTTGAGGCAGGGATCAAACTGGACACAACAATGAAGCCAACAAAGCACAATCACCTCCTCACCTGCTTGACACACCTCGCCTTTTCATCACATTTGTGTTAGTGAGACACTGCCCTCTGCCACACGGCTGATGTGTTTTTCTATTCATGCTCATCTCATCTTCAACAGCTATAATTTTCTTCTATGTGTGTCCCCGACCAATCTCATTCACATTGCACTGGAGGTTTTCTGCCCCTCAGAATTCCTGAACCTACTCCTGTTAAACATCAGCCCCTACTTACAGCATTATTCTAATTGATCAAGACCACTGTGACTTTCTTACTATCTTTCAATCAGGTTTTCCTCAAGTTTGGGGAAAATATGGAATGAAAGGAACCCCAGACATCACCCTTAATCACCTCCTCTGGCCCACTAACTGGCATCCCGCTCTCAATAGGGTATCTGCAAGTCTGCAATCCTCCAGCATTGAAAGCTTTGGAAATCTGAAGAATCACTGAAAGGTTTAGCACAAAGAGAAATTGTCTGGAAGCCACTCTTACCTCCTGAACATTGGCCAGTTCCAGTAGTTCTCCAAAGACGTACACTCCAGGAGCCTCCAAGACTTGGCTTATGAGAGCAGTAAGGGCTGACCCATTGGTACCTTTGGCTAGCAAAATAAACTGTTCCAGGAGGTTACTTGAAGGCTTTTGTTCACCTGCCATTCTCTGGCTTTAAGATCTGTCCAAAAGAAAAGCATGTCAGTCATTCTCCCTCTTCCTTTTAAAAGTCCATATTTATGTAATGCTGAATCAGACACCAAAATACATTTTCCCCAGTACAAAGGACTGAACTCAGAGCTTCATGCATGTTAGGTAAGTATTCTACCACTGAACTCCATCCTCAACCCTTATTTTGAGACAGGGTCTAAGTTTTGTGGGATGGGCAGAGTTGAACCTGGAGTTAAGGGGATCTTGTCCTCAATCCTGAGGTTTGAAAGACACTTTGTAAAAGGCATTTTCTCACCTGTCCCTCTCTTAGAGGCATACTCTTCTAAATCCTTAAAGCTGACCAGAATGTTAGGTTGCTGAACCTAACAACAGAAAAGTTTCTCCTTTCTTTTTTTTTTTGAAGTTTTTGAGACAGGGTCTCCCCATGTAGCCCAGGCTAGCCTTGAACTTGCAGTAATCCACCTGCCTCAATCTTCCCAGTGCTGCGATTACAGGAATAAACTACTATGTCCAGCTCTCCCTAGATGTTTTACTTCTACCTCATTTACAGGCAGGCTCTGGCTAAGAGGCAATGCATTTCAACTTTCCAGGTGTCATTAGGATCCCACCTACAGCCAGACCCAGATAAAATACAAAAAATAGACAAGAACCATGTTTCACTTAGAGAAGTTATTTAAGGACTGGGGATGTGGTACAGCATGAACTTAACATGCAGAAAGACTGTGTTTCATGAGGCAGGCATCATTTAAGCATAGGATATACGGGGAAATCTATTATGAAAGATAAGCAACAAGTTCAAAGTTAGAAAATACACACTGTGTAAGTCTCTGGAGGAAAATCCCTTTATTCAGCCATCTACTGATATGATTACCAAACAGGACTTCAGAACTTGTACAAAACCTTAACAATATCACAATCCAGGAAAACAGTGCTGGTACTGTACTATCACCCCCAAGCCAGTAAGTACCCAAGGGTCCTCGACTGAGATCTAACTGCAGGCTGGATGTCTGTGGACACACAGCATACCTATTCTATCCGAGTTCTATTAAGAAAAGACATGTCCTCCGCAACTAAGACACTGGGAAGTGTGACAAACTGACAGAAACGTTTGTATAGTACAGTGAAGCAAAGGACAAGTCAAAGAAGGTTAATGTGGTGCAAGAGGAACTAAGTTTTCCTGTGGAGTCAGGTACACTTAATAGCGTCAGTTCCTCACCATTAAAGTATTGCCTGACTCCCGTTTCCCATGAAAGTCCTGTCAGAAAGAGGGAAGGGCTAAGGAACAAAGGCTCCTGAGGAGAAGGAAGAGGAGAGGGTGACAGGATGACTGGAAAGCGGGGAGAGGAAGCAGGCGGTGAGGGTTAGAAAACAAGGAACAAAAACTACCCTTCCAAGCGGTCGCGTGTGAACAAACGGATGGGGAGCTCGGCTAAATGGAAGACGCCAGGGGTAGCCAGAAGGTAAGGAAATGGGGAGAAACTTCGCCGCCTCCAAAAGATCTCAATCTAGAGAGCAAAGCCTGTGGAGGCAGAGAGCAGACACAGGTAACTTCGTTTTCCGGAGGAGTGGGAAAGCCCGAAGGGGCGGCAAGGGTCCCGGCAGAGACGAATTCCCGACAGGGGAGGGCGCTAATTTGATGGATCGGGGAGGGCGAAGGGGCAGCCTCGGGGCCAGGGGCGCCGCGAACACGGCTGCTGCCCGCCCGCCTAGGGTCCCCGGCCACCGCGGCCGTCGGAGCAGGCAGCAGGCTCCAGCAGGGCCGCGGGCGGAGAGCTGCGGGGCGCGCTCCCTGGGGCGGGGGCGGGGCGGCGTGGCCGCTGGCTCCCCAAGCCGCTGGCTTGAAGCTGGAGGTCCGGCTGAGACTGGCGCGTAAGCCCCCAGCGAGGCCTGTCCTCCAGCAGGCCCCTACCTGACCGCGCCGCCTCTCCGTCCTTTTAGTCGCTGGCTCGGCCTTCCAGCGCCCGCCCGCAGGTTGTCAAGCGTCCATGATCGGCCCGGCGTCCGGCGCTTTTCTGCCTCCGCCGACCCGTCGCCCATGCGGCTCCCCCGGAAGCCTCCTGCCGCTGCATTCGAGTTCCGCCCACACAAAGTTCCCCGCGTCTTGCTCACTGCCCCCGACCTCGCGTGGGGCGCGGGCGGGAAGAAGAGGATCGCGGCCTGGCTGCAGCCCAAGCCAACGACGAGGAGCTCGAGGGCAGCAGCGTGGCTTGGACACCACCGGGATCCCAAAGCGAGACCACTGGTTGCGCTTGACACCCTCAGACACTCCTAAAAATCACTACTGAACATTTGTCGAGCATTTTTCCATGTGGCAGATGTGCATCTCGCTTAATTCTCCCAATACTGTGGCCATTCTCATTTTTCAGGTGAGCTAAGCAAGCTTAAAAATCCTAAATCTTTGCCCCTAATCAAAGCTCACTTTGTAATCCTGCCTGTCTGAAACCAAAGTCCATGTTCCTAAATCTATATTTAGGAAAAAAAAAATTTTTTTTTTCACTATCTAGCCCAGGCTGGCCTAGGATCACAAATATATATGGGTAGGCTGAGGCAGGATCACAGTGATGCATCTGCCTCAGCCTCTCCGGTGCTGGGATTACAGGTACATGTACTACCACTCCCAGCTATCAGAAAATGTTTTTAAAGTAAGCTGGAGGCAGGTTGGGCAAACATTTGGTTCTGTCACCAAATTGAAATGAGATCCGTGGTACTGCATTTGATAGCTACCAACTCCACCACTGGGAAGATAATTAATACTACATAATTGAACACTTAAACACTTTCCTTTAGAGTATCAGACACAAAATGAGCCCTGTTTACCTATGGTACATTACAGTACAGAAATCAGGACAGATGGTAAGGAGATAGCACCAACTTCTTATGAATTCAAACATACTCTTTAGCAGCTATACATTCTGGAAGATTGTATGAAAATACAGAATCAGGGATCAGGCATGAGAGATGAAGGGTGTGGAACCAGAAAACTAAAAACAGCAGTTTCCACCTGGGGTCTTCACCTTGGAGAGCACACAGCCTCAAAGAGGCGCCTAACAAAGCTCTCCAGACTTTGGACTGTGGCCTGGGAAGAAATTATTTGGGCTTTAATTAAATCTGAAAAGAAAAAAAAGAGCAAGCAAATCACAAAAGGCATAAGCCAAATAAAGAGTTGGTTTTTTTGTTTTTGTTTTTGTTTTTAAAAAAAAACACACTTTATCTTGTTGGGTATAATGGCAAATGCCTGGAATCCCAGTACTCAGCAGGCTAAAACTCAGGAGGATCACCAGGAGTTTGACTGCATAGCAAGATTCTGTCTCAAACAACCAAAACAAAACCCTTAAGGGTCCCAGGGAGGTGTTCAGGCTTTTTAAACTATGAAGAGGTCTGACTGCCTTCCAGAATGATCACACTAGGATCACAAAAAATGGACTGGGTGTGGAGAGACCTGGGTGGAAAGAGGAAATCCCTAAAGATGATGACTTGTTCCACGCAGAAGACTGAGATCTTGAACAGAGGTAAGTGGTAGCAGCTGGAGATGAAGACGATGTGTGGCTGGAGACACTTAGATGATGGACCTGTGAGGCTCGCTGAGGAGCTGGATGCAGAGAGGAGGGAGGACACCCAGATCACAGCCCCCCAAGACCAGGGCTGTCTTGGGGGGAAGGAGTATTCACAGCACAGCAGAGGCAGCGGGGCAGATTTGAGGGTGGCAGGAAGACAACTGAGCTCAGTTTGAGTTCAGGAATGTTCCAGCGATGCTTCTGCTTCGTCCACAATCCTGGCCAGACCCCTGGCTAGAGACAGCCCTTCCCAGTGCACCTGCTCTCAGCCCCACTGCAGCCTGCCCGCTCAGCATGGCCAACTGCCATGCCCAGGCTTGATGTCTGTCCTGTTCACAGTGCTGCAGTCCCATGCTTGCCTGTAAAAATCACACTAACCTGACAGCTGAAGATTTTTTTTTTTTTTTTGAGACAGAGTGTTGCTATGTAGTTCAGCTTTAAATTCAACTATTTAGCCCAGGCTAGCCTCGAACTCACAGTGATCCTCCTGCCTCAGCCTCTCAAGCTCTGAGATTACAGGCAAGTGCCACCACACCCAGCAAGATTTCTTATGCAGAGTGTGTCACAGAAGAGACTAAATTATGGCCCTACACTGAAATTAACAATTCCTGTTTCAAAAGACACCAGTAAGAAAGTGAAAAGACAATCCACAGCACTGAAAAAGATACTTGAAAGCATATATCTGACAAAGAACTCTTCATCCAGACTGTAGAGAACTATGGAGCAATAAGAAAACAGCCCAGTTTTTAAAAGTGAGCAAAAGACATGACCAAGCACCTCTCTAAAGAGATTGTTCAGGGGCTGGGGATTTAGCTCAGTGGCATAAGCACCTTCCTGGCAAGCATAAAGTTGTCAGTTCGATCCCAGTACCAAAAAGAGAGAAAAAAGAGGGCATTCAAATTGGCAATGAGTATATGAAAAGGTACTCCAAATCAGAAAAATGTAAATACTATGATGAAATACATTTATCTCAAATAGCTACAAATTTTAAAACTAACAACAAACAGCCTGTGCTAATAAGCATATGAGGGGAATAAACTCATATATTCTGTGAAGATGTACAATCACTTTGGAAAACTGGCACTATTTGCTGTTACTGATCATATGCATACCGTATAAGCCAGCAACTGTTCTACAAATGTGTGCCCATGTCCACCAAAAAACAAACACAAAGGCCCATGTAAGAATGCAGCCTTAGCTGCGTGCAGTAGGGCATGTTCGTAATCCCAGCACTCTTGGAGGCTGAAACAGGAGGATCTCAAATTCAAGTCCAACTTGCAAAACAGTGACTTTATGAGACACTGTGTCAAAATACCTAAAAAAAGGGCCAGTGATGTAGCTCAGTGTAAAACCCCTCAGCTCAATCTTCAGTACTACTTTACTACTAATAATCATGCAATCTTGTTAATAATACAAAAAAAGGCCTAAATGCCCACCAACAGTACAACAGATAAAACTGTGGTATATACCTACAATGAGATGTTACTTGATAACTGAAACCATGGATGAACCCACAAAAATACTGATGAAAAGGAAAGCCAAACACTGTATGATTACATTTAAGTGAAACAAGTATGAACAAAACTGATTTAAATTACGTCAGAATACCAGTTATCTTGAGATGTGGGAATGCAGTACTGACTAGGAAATAGCATAATCCTGCAAATGTTTTCTGTCTTGATCAGCTGGTGATTGCCAGGGGTATATATATATATGTATTGAGATTGTTCCCTTCCTGCATGAATGTTTTATCTTATTAACAAAATGTTTTAATGTAGAAAAAATCTTGCCCATCCTTCAAGCTCAAATGCCACTTCCTCCATGTTTTGTATGGTAAATCTCTCCATCAGATGAGTGTCGTGGCCCAGGAAGTCCCAGGATTCAGGAAGCTGAGGCAGGAGGATCACGCTGAGTTTGAGGTCAGCCTGGGCTACACAAGGAGTTAAAGGTCAGCCTGAACTACATAGTGAGAGACAGAGAGAGAGAGAGAGAGAGAGAGAGAGAGAGAGAGAGAGAGAGAGACACTCTAAATAAATAAATAAAAAGGGGGCCGGGGATTTAGCCCAGCAGTGTAAGTGCCTGCCTGGCAAGTGCCAGGTCATGAGTTGAATCCCCATACCAATAAATAAATAAATCTGTCTCTCCATAGGACCACTGTGGCATTCTGATGTCTTTTTTTTTTCTGTCATTTATCGCACTCCATCTTGAATCTCAATGGAGTCTCATTTCCCTAAAGTTATTTCCTAGTGAGAATAACTATACCTTTCACCTTCTACCCACTCAGTCCTGAGAAATAACAGAAGCCAAACACGTTTGATGAAATACGTACACAGAAGAAAAATTGGGTGGGTGCCCAGGTAGATGAAAAGAGACACAGGAAGAGGACACAAGAAGACTCTGAGGAAAACACAATTAACACCAATTTTTATCTATTTCCTGAAATCACATTAAATGTCACCTTGAGTGTCAAAGAAAGAACAAGTCAAAACACAAAGTCCTACATAGATGAAGAATAAACAAAATCACACTTCCTGACTTGCAGGAAAACCGCGAGGTAAATGCTCACCTAACCTTTGGTTTTAATGCTGAATGGTAAAACTTCATCAAGGACAGTAACAATCACATTGTCATGCTGCTAAAAATATCACCTCCAAGTGTGGTGCCCAGAGCCCAGACTGCGGGCCAGCCGACACAGGGCCGAATTCTAACTAACTCTGCCCCAACTTGCTGTGATCTGTGACCTATCTCTCCGCCTCTCTGGGTCTCAATTTTCTCATAAGTAAAAACAACAGGGATATGATTAGCAAATTCTTTCCAGTCCCTTCCTGTAATTGCTATTCTGAGTATACAATCAATAGCTCAGGCAGTCGGAAGCAGGAACACACCAGAAACCCTTGCAACAGAACAGCAGGATTTGAGGAAGTCATTTCCTTCTATTATCTTTCACGGTTTAGTCAATGTTTCTGTCTGTTGTTTGCAGCCTTACCATGATTTGCAGACTTCTGAGTTCCATGTAAAATAAAAGTTAATTGTCTGTGGGCTGTCATCTCCCCTTGAAGATGAAAAGGGTCTTTCCTCCCGCTTCCAAACCTCCGGATCGAGGAGCCACACATCCCACCGACCAGCTTCTGAATTTGCGCACTCTGCCTGGCACACTGGAGCCCAAGTTAAAGAAGCGGGGCGCGGGGCATTCTGGGATGTGTAGTCCTCGGGCTACGGGCGGTGCAATGAAATCTGTGAATCTCGTCGCGCCCTCGGAATGCTGGGAAATGTAGTCTCCGCTACTTCGCACAGTGCAACCTGCCATCCTCTCAGACGGCTAGCGTGCCCAGCGGCGGGAGCAGGCCCCTCGAGCCTCTTCAAATCGTAAGCTGACCCTCCCCTGGGGCAAACTCTAAGCAACATCACCGAATGACAGTTTTATCCTTTGGGACTTCTCAGGGAGGGCCTTTCCCATTGACGCTCGTCGTCCCCCTGCGAAGCCGCTGAGCGTTTCTATTGGTTTCTCGGGATGTCAATCGCTGAGCCGGACTTTCCATTGGCTTCGGTGCGGGCGCTCCGAGGCTAGAGGGAAGCAGAAGGGATCAGGAGCGGGAGCTCAGGGGAGGGAGAGGCCGGTCCGGCTCTCGCCGCTGCAGCTGCTAACCTGAGGTCTCCAGATCCGGCTGCGGCTCGGCCCTCGGCCCCTGGGCATTATCCGAGAGGCTCCGCCGGCCAGCGTGGGAGAGTCGCGGGCGGCAGCCGCCGCATCATGTCAGCCAAGGACGAGCGGGCCAGGGAGATCCTGAGAGGCTTCAAACTGTATCCGCCCGGGAGCGGGGCGGGGCCGGGGGGGACTCTGGAGGCGTCGGCCGCGGAGGAGCCGGGCCAGGCTGGGGGCGCCCGCGGGGTACCGAGCCGAGGGCGGCGCGGGGCACGGGACGGGGCGGCGCGGCGCGGGGGCGCCCGGCGGGAGGAGTGGTTGGGGCGCCAGCAGCCCAGGGAGGCGGACGAGCCCGGGGCCGGGCTGTGGATGGCGCGGGCGTTGGCAGTGCGGGTCCCCGGGGCCAGCTGGGTTCTAGGCTCCGGCGGGGGTCTGGGGGGCTCGGCCAGAGCACTGCTGAGGGGCGCAGCAGGCCGGCCTCGAAGCCTCAAAGGTCTGTGGCGGGAAACCCACCAGGAAAGTGCTCCGAGCGAGTGACCTTGTGCGGGACACATGCACACGCGGCGCTGAACTTTGTCGGGTCCCCAGCCCTGTCTGTGACCACAACTTCGCACCCTCACTTGTGGCTTCTTCCAGGGCCAGAGCAGCAGAGGGAGGTGAAGAAAAAGACCTTGATTAACTCTGTTGGCCTTTGGGAGGCGTCGGATAGTCTCTGCTTCTCCCCGACACCTGTTAGGGTGCTTTACTCTGAGAGGAGGACCTGGGACGTGGGCGGGGTGCCTCGAGGTACCTCAAAGTCCTCTGGGATGCACAGAGCTCTGGCAAGGGTATCAGAGCTCTAGGGCACAGGGTGTTGGCCTGTGGTTCACACCTTGCTAAGGTGGAGCTGTCCAGCAATTATTTTCGTGGAGGACCTGTCTAATAGGCTATGGAAATCATTGCCTCGGGCCTGGTGTGATGCCACTTTTGAAACCACAAGGAAGCTTTGTGTTTTAAAGGAATGTGTGTTAGTCGCTAGTGTAAGATGCAAAGGAGCCAGGCGTGCTGCACACCTGCAATCTCAGCACTCGAGGCCGAGGCAAGGGGATGGCAAGTGCAAGCCAGCCTGGGCAATTTAGAGAGACCTTTTCTCAGAAAATAAATTTTAAAAATAAATAAATAGAGATGAGGATGTAGCTCAGCGCAAAGGCCCTAGGTTCGATCCCCAGTACCATAAATAATAATAATAATAGTATTTAAAAATTTAGGCTTGTATTCCAATTTTACATTCTCTAGCTGACCTTAATCTCTTCTTACATCCCATCTCTACAGTGCAAAACAGTCTTAAATTCCTCTCTCTGGGAGATGTAGGCATCCCTTAGGGCTCCCCACTGGAGGTTTAATGAAACCCTGTATTCCAAGCTGCTCATTAGGTTTTCACAATGCCCACTTCACCCGACCAGTTCCAGTTGCTTCCTCATAGTCAGAAGCCATAGTAAGTTTTCAAACAGAAAGTTTTGAGTATAATTTTTTTTTATTTTTATATAAGGTCTGGCTATGTAGGTCAGGCAGGCTTTGAACTCTCAGCAATCCTTTTGCCCCAGCATCCCCAAGTACTGAGATTACAGGTGTGCACCACCACACCCAGCAACAAGGTATGTTTTGAACAAATGGCTTTCGAACACAGAAAGGAAAGTTTGTGCATCTCACCTTCAGTCTTGGTTCTGGAACCAGTGGAGAAAGAGGCTGAGGAACCAACATTGGAAACAATAGAAAAAAAAAACCTGTGCACCCCTAAACAGGGAAGGTGAATTAATCAGTTCAGGGGTGATGTTAATGCACTGGACTTTCAGGAAAACGTGTCTGTGAAGCTGCCTGAATCCTGAAGCACAGGAGAAGCTGCCACATAAACGTTAGCACAGGAGGTGAAGGGCAGGAGATGGAGCTCAGGGTCAGAATACTTGCTGTACTCACACTGGACCCTGGCTTCCAGCCTCACCACTATAGATAAATAAGGAACTTAGAGCCAGGTGTGGTGGCACACGTCTGTAATCCCCACACTTTGGGAGGCTGAGGCAGGAGAATCACAAGTTCAAACCAATTTGGACAACTAAGCAACTTGGTGAGACCCTGTCTCAAAGTAAGAACTAAAAAAGGCCTGGGTTGTACTCAATGCCCAGCCCCTATATTCAGTCCCCAGTCCTGAAAGAAAACAGTGAAGCAGAAACTGTGGGATTGGATAATGCATTCATGAAAAAGAAAGTGTTGGTTACAAACTACCTGATTATTGTCTACCTTTTGCTACATAAATGGCTTTTCTGAACTTTCTTCCAGAATGCCTATTTCAGTAACAATAGTCTCTCTTCATTTATTTCTCTAAGTACTTTTTGTCTTTTGTTTTGTTTTGTTTTCTGAGTAGTTTTTGTTTTCTAAGTAGTCCAGGCTGGACTTAGACTCACTAAGGTAGCCTAGGCTGGCCTTGAACGTGTGCAGAGGTTTTGGATTTGATTTTTCTTTTTTTTTTCTTTTTTTTTCTTTTTTTGTCTTTTTGAGACAGGGTCTCGCTGTGCAGTTCAGGCTGGTCTTGGGCTCACTTTGTAGCGTAGGCTGGTCTCGAACTTGCAAGGATCTTCCTGCCTTGGCCTCCCGAGTGCTGGGATTACGGGCGTGGGCTGAGGTTTTGGATTTGATACTCTGAAGCAGTTGATGTGAATCCTTTCCGAATCCCAGGTTCTGTGTTCCATTCATTCACCTGCCTTGTGTGCACAGAGCATTGCACTGAAGTGCACAAAAATGGTTGTGTCTCAGGCCCTCAGTAAGTGTGTATAGAAGGGATGTCTTCAAAAGTGCCATATTTTTTAAAGTAGTATTTAATTTTTCTATTGCAAACATCAGTCACCTAAAATGATCCTTGTTAATACTTTTTCTTGTTTTTTTTTTTTTTGTCTTTTTCCTTTTTATCGGTACCAGGGATCGAACTCACGACCGCCTGCTTGCAAGGCAGACGCTTATGCCGCTGAGCTAAATCCCCAGCCCCGATCCTTGTTAATACTAACATAGTCTTCTAATGTGGCTGTATAATATTGCTTGCATAAAAGTGAACCCCCAGGGTTGTCTGGTAACTTACTTTTTTCACTTCATAACAAGTTTGTCATGGTTTTAAATCCCAAAGAGTTAGTGTAAATTGTTTTCAGTGACCTTCACTTACAGTACTTTTTTTTTTTCAGACAGGGTTTCACTATACAGTTCAGGTTGGCCTTGAACTCACAGCAATTCTCCTGCCTCAGCTTCCCAAGGGCTATGATTACAGGTGTGTGCCACCAGGCTTGGCACTTACAGTACCCTTTTTGTTGTTGTTGTTGTTGTTGTTGTTACCAGGGATTGAACTCATGACCTCACGCTTGCCAGGCAGGCACTTATGCCGCTGAGCTAAATCCCAGGCCCATGTAGGGTACTCATACTATCTCTCTTCTGTAACCTATAATGTGCTGGTTTGCCTGTTTGAATTACCCTTTCATCAGTGTAAATGTATAACTTCTATATCAAGAAAGTGATTGATAAGCTGTTATAGGATGCTTTTATGATTTTATGATTTCATTAAAGAAATCATAAAGGAATTATGAATAAGAATTATACTTTTATGATTTCATTATCTTTAATCCATCCAGAATTTACTTGGCAGAAGGTGTGCAGTGCTGATTGAGCTTTTTCCAGAGCTCAGTTCATCCCCCGCCCCGCCCCTACCCTTTCTCTTCCTTTCTCGCTTTCTCTTCTTCAGTAGTGGTACTTTGGGGCAATCCAGAGGGCCTTGCTCATTTAGCAAGCACTCTGGCTACACTCCACCCTTGTTTACTCACTAACACTCCAGGTATTGGTTTTTTTTTTTTTTTTTTTTTTTTTTTTTTTTTTTTTGTCTTTTTCCTTTTTATCGGTACCAGGGATCGAACTCACGACTGCCTGCTTGCAAAGCAGGCGCTTATGCCGCTGAGCTAAACCCCCAGCCCCCCAGGTATTGGTTAAATCCACAATAAAATGGCTCCTGCAAATAGGAGGAGGGTGTGACAAACAATTACCAGAAGAATCGATTGAATAATAAATGAAAAGATGCTCAACCTTACTAAAACAGCAGACTAACCCCTTACTCTAAATGAACTGACAGGAAGTGAAAGATTGGTACTATTTGTTGTTAGTGATTTCAGAGAGAGAGTGGCACCCTCATTCGCCATGTGTGTGCATGGGTATGTGCACGTGTGCATGTGTATGTGCATACGTGCATGTGCATGTGATGGGGAATAAGCTACAGAAGAGCTTGGTGTCAGGGGCTGGACTCCAGGCTTAGCCCTGCCGCCTCCACTGTGTCACTGCTGACCACTGCTGTTGTTCCTTCTGGAATGTTATGAATGATAATAACTACAGCCTTCTCTGGGGCAGAACCAAAGCCCTCATGTGTTTACTGTATTTTCTTATTGAGAAACCATTTCCATTTGCTTCTGCAGAAGTGATCATGTACTTGTGTTCATCTGAGGAGGGCTGATGTGCACTTGTAGGCATTTATTACCTAGGAACAGCTGTCTTCCAGTCTACTGCAGGTTAGCAAAGAAAGAACCCATTTGGCTCATGGTTCCTGAAAGCACCTTCCTCTGGTCTTGCTTTTTATTATCCACAGCTTGGTCCTGGGACTACCCTATCATTTCTTACAGCTCCTTGGTCTTCAATTTCACTTCTAGTCAAAAATAGCTGGCTCTGTAGGGTACAGCTATGTAGAATAGTGGAACAGCACTTGCTGGTGCACAGGAGGCTCTGAGTTCAAGCCCAGCACCACACACACACACATGCACACACACACATCTACAATACATCTATTATTCACTTTAATTTCCTTATTAAGAATAGTAACCTAGGCCCTGGGATTTAGCTCAGTGGCACAAGTGCTTACCTGGCAAGTGCAAGGTTGTGAGTTTGATCCCTGGTATAAAAAAAAAAAAAAAAACAGAATAGTAACCTGTTGAACTTCACTTAAATATCAATATTGCCTAGTACAATTTCCTGGTCAGGTGTTAGAAATGAACTTGAAACTGGGCATGATGGCACATGACTCTAATTCCTGCATTCAGGAGGCTAAGGCAGGAGGATCTTATTGCAAGTTCAAGGCCAGCCTGGGTTACAAAGTGAGCTCAAG